TTTTTTAAGAACCGCGAGCACCCGGATTCGCCACAATTAGCATCCCCACCCTTGATCCGGGTAAGGTTTAATGTAGAACGGAAAAACCAAGGCGGCCTCAACCCCGCAGACGGGGTTTTGTTTCGTGAACTGGTTGCCCGGGTCGGCCCCCGACCGTGAACCTCGCGAAACTCCCCCAGCGGGCGGTGTCGAAGCCCCACGCTTGCCCTCGTTTCCATGTCGGATAGAGCCTTCCATGCGCGGTTAAGGATGCCATCGGGATGAACCCGATGGGCCCTTCAACCCCCGGTGAGCTCGAGCATCCGCGGCATCGCCTCGGGTGTCGGAACCCCGGAGTCCCTTGTCGACTCCGGTTCCGGTTGGGGTCTGTCGACTGTTGGCCGCTGGCGAACATTTCTGATCAGATTCCTGGGGGCAATCCGGGTCCGGAAGCCGCTGTGCGTCAGCGTGTCCGGGGCCGAGATCCTCCATCGGAGGGACCGATGCGGCAGACGGGGCTCCCCCTTTCTGGGTCGAGAAGTCCCTATCTGCCGCGGACCGTCCTCTTGAGAATTTCAGTGGGGGCAATCGAATGCCGTTGGGACGTCCATCGCGGTGCGCCGCATGGTCGCCCACGGTGGGTTTCGGTGAAGGAACCCCTTCTGCTTAGCTACTTTCTGTCCCCCGCGGGGGTTCCGGCCCGGGGGCTGCGGCCGCCGGGTCTGAAAGTTAGCTACCTGGTTGATTCTGCCAGTAGTCATATGCTTGTCTCAAAGATTAAGCCATGCATGTCTAAGTATAAGCAATCTATACGGTGAAACTGCGAATGGCTCATTAAATCAGTTATCGTTTATTTGATAGTACCTTACTACTTGGATACCCGTGGTAATTCTAGAGCTAATACATGCTGAAAGCCTCGACTTCGGAAGGGGTGTATTTATTAGATAAAAAACCAATGCCCTTCGGGGCTCCTTGGTGATTCATAATAACTTGTCGAATCGCATGGCCTTGCGCCGGCGATGGTTCATTCAAATTTCTGCCCTATCAACTTTCGATGGTAGGATAGTGGCCTACCATGGTGGCAACGGGTAACGGGGAATTAGGGTTCGATTCCGGAGAGGGAGCCTGAGAGACGGCTACCACATCTAAGGAAGGCAGCAGGCGCGCAAATTACCCAATCCCGATACGGGGAGGTAGTGACAATAAATACTGATACAGGGCTCTTTCGGGTCTTGTAATTGGAATGAGTACAATCTAAATCCCTTAACGAGGAACAATTGGAGGGCAAGTCTGGTGCCAGCAGCCGCGGTAATTCCAGCTCCAATAGCGTATATTAAAGTTGTTGCAGTTAAAAAGCTCGTAGTTGAGTGCAGTCCGGGGCTAGAGAGCGCATGCGGAGATGGGTGGTGACAA